GTGTAAGAGGCAGGTCTAGCACATCACAATGCACCACCATTTAAGAGCCTTTACTGTACATTAGTCAGTTCCCTTCGAGTGCATGTGCACCGTGAAAATATTGTACATATGTGTGTTTTAAAAAAATATATATATTTTATTGATTTTTTACAGAGAGGAAGGGAGAGGGATAGAGAGCTAGAAACATCGATGAGAGAGAAACATCGATCAGCTGCCTCCTGCACACCCCTTTACTGGGATGTGCCCGCAACCAAGGTATATGCCCTTAATCGGAATCGAACCTGGGACCCTTGAGTCCGCAGGCCGATGCTCTATCCACTGAGCCAGACCGGTTTCGGCCATATGTGTGTTTGAATGCATTGGGACACATATTAGAAAATTCAGAACTTACGTAGATCTTATCACTTAGGACAAATCTAGGTGGGTGTAGAAACATTTAAAAACATTTAAAAAATGAATAGGCGATGCCGGGAGGACCAGAGCTTGCTGTGTATCCAAGGAAAACCTTGGATATTCAGTTTGAAGTTCTAGGGCAGCACTCAGGACGGAAGCAGGGAGGTGGGCGAAGCTTGCTGGGGGGAGGCAGCACTTCTGTTGGTGGTTGTCTGTCTCCTCCCCTCCCTGCCCCCCACCCTGCACTCACCCAGGGAGAGAAATGGAGGGGATGAAGAAGCCAGAATGAGTCCCCAGAGGGCTGCAGCTGGTGAGTTTTGGAAAGTGCCAGGTGTGGTTAAGCCCCGCCTCACTCTCTTGGGGCAGCTGTCACCATTCACTCCCTGGCTGGGCCTGCCCATCTGGCCGCTGTCAGCGGGCCTGGAAAACCCTGGAAAACCCGTGTGGGGAGCAGTGGGAAGGAGCCCTGAGGGTGGGTCTGTCTAGGCGTGGGAAGAGTTTAGCTCCAAGTCCCGGCAACTCTCTGTGTGGTCTCACCTCTCTGTGCAGGGACAGGGTGGGGTATTGGGGAGTGTGTGTGTGTGTGTGTGTGTGTGTGTGTGTGTGTGGTGGGGGGCTGGCAGGGCTGCTTTTTGGACATTCTAGTTTAGGGGCTGGGTGAGGCTGGTGTCTGGAGTCCAGCCCCTTCTGCTTGCTCCCCCGTGGCGCCTCTCAAAGAGGAAAACAAGCCTTCTGGACTCGAGGGGCACCTCCATGCTGATGGAGGCAGTGGTGGGCTGGGAGGCTGTTGGTTGCCCTGGCACGTGCCTCCTCACAAGGACGGCGGAGCCAAGGCCAGCCCCCGGACTCTCCATGTGAGCGGTGGGCCCGTCCTCAGGCCCGCTACCCCCCCTGGACCCACTCCGGGAGGATCAGAAGCGACATCTTCCTGGTAACTAGGCAATTACGGTTACTATTGCCACATTTTTTTGTTTCTTGTATTCTATTTTTTTTTTTCTAGGAAATTTACCAAGTTTTGGCCCAGGGGGTTACATCTGCCAGCCCATAGCAAAAGCTGACACTATTCAAGCTCCAAATGGAAGCCACGAGGCTATAATTACCCCGGCATTAGCTCAGCAGCACGCTGAGAGGAGCGCAACGGAGCACCTGGGGGACCTGCAAGTGGCAGAGGCCCTAAATTAGCGGCTGTGCTGCGTGTGGTTGACGCCTTGCCCCTCTCTGGAGCCTCCTTCTGCCCTCCCGCTCCTCTGCCAGCGTCCCAACAGGTGCCCTGAACGGGAAAGAACCACCTGGCAGGTCAGGGTGACCCTTCCTGAGAGGCCAGCCCTCCAGAATGGCCTTTGTATAGACAGGCGCCCTTGGTCCTTGCCTGGCGGGGAAGGGGGAGGGAAGCAAAATGGCTTGGCAGCAGCTCAGGGAACTGCCAGCGGGGCCCCTTGCCCCACTGTGACTGGAAAGCCATTGCTCAGCCTCCAGAGTCCTCTCTGCTGGGTCCCTCCTTCAGTCTCCGCCTCCAGGCACTGAGTGCTGTCAGCTCCCTCTGCCTGGGTCCCTTTCTTCTCCCTTTTCTCCCTCTGACTCATCCCGAAGGTTTCAGCAGGGTTGCTGCTGCTTCTCTGACCCTGGTCTGGGCAGGACGCTTTCCTCTCTGACGTCCTCTGTACACGGCCTGTTCCTCTGTCTCCATCTGTGTCTCTGGAGAAATGCCAGCACATAGTAGGCCCTCAATAAGGACTTGTTCATCGAATGAGTAGGAAAACAAACCTTGATACCCTTCCAGCCTTCATTATCCTTTTGTTTTTACAAGAAGAGAGGGAGTTTGCTCTGTCTGCTTTTGTAGGGCTGCTGGTGGTGAGGCAGGGGGTGGGGGTGACGGCTCATCTTTAATGATTGACCCTGACTTTCTCTTCTGGGCCGGGCTCCACATTGATACTTGATCACACGTGGTCATGTATGAGCCACTGTTCCCCACCCTCTGCCCACTGGTCTTCCTTAACAGCGTTAACCAACACTCTTCGAACACTCATTATGAACTAGATACTCTTCTAAGTACATTTAGTTTTTCACTCACCAAATGCTTATTTAGCACCCATCATGCACTGGGAGATAAGGATACGGCACCGAGAGCACAACTGACAAAGCCCCTGCCTTCATGGAGCTTATATTTGATACAAACAAACAAATGAGTAAGTCCACACACACTAAGGTGGGCGGTGAAGAGAGCTGTGGGGAAAACAGATCAGAGTTGATAAAGGGAGTGACTTGTTATTACCATCAGGAACCACTCACAGATAAAGTAACGTTTGAGCTGAGACCTTCTGGAAGTGAGAAATGGTCATGGGATGGGGGAGAGCTTTCCAGGTAGAGGAAGCAGCGCGTGCAAAGGCCCCAAGGTCAAGGAAAACCAAGGAGACCAGTGGGCTGGAATGGGTGGAGGAACTGAGCAGGGGAAAGAGTAGGAGATAAGATCATAGAGCACTGCTGGCTAATAGAAGTAAAGGGTGGGGCAAAAGTAGGTTTACAGTTGTGAGCACACAAAATACGGAGCTTATTCTTATACTGAGCAAAGGGGGGTGCAGGCCACAGTGATGAGCAGCAGGGCCAGGAGCGGACAGAGGCTCAGCTCTGACTCCTAGGCCTTCACCCCTGCGCCCGCCTCTTAGTTTCCGGCTGGACCGGTGAGCTCTCCAGAATGGTTGCCCCTCTTACTCTTCTGACCCAGCACAGCACCGGGAAGGAGCGGGCCATGCAGAGGTGGGACGTGCTATCTCCACTGAGAGGGATGGGAACCCTAGGACCCCTGCTGGCAGTTCTCAGGATCCTGGGCGGGCCATGGGTGGGGAGGCGTGCTGTCCAGTGCCTCACTCACATCCTTCCCACTGCCTTGCAGGGCCTCGAACGAGGGGTGGTGCTCAGTAATTATGAGGAAGCATTTGTTGGGTGAAGAATGAATGAAAAGATGTATCCCAACCTAAGACTTAAGCTGCTGCTTCTCTCTGCATTCCATGGTGGGATCTGGGCTCCTCTGGTTTGCTGCCAGCATGCTGGATGACCTTGGCAAGCCCTCTCTCCACGCAGGGCCTCCGTTTCCTTACCTGTGAATGGAGAAGTAGGGTTAGATGGTCGCCCATCCGCTCTCACCAGAGCATCTGAGAGGCATGTGCAGGCCAGATCCTTGCCTCCCGCACCGTCTGTCGTCCGGACAGACAGGCACTCTGCAGGTGGGAGCAGCTGGCAGCGGAGGGCTGCATGGTTCCTGTGCTGTGTTCCCCGTGGAACAGCTGAGACTTGTGGGGAGGGACCTGGCAACTCCTGGGAATCCTGCTTTGTGCCCACGGGCAGTGGCACGAAACTCAAAGCATCATGGCCCTGATGCTCATGTGCTCAGCCCCGCAGAGTCGGGGGCTCACATTCAGCCTGCACCTCGCACCGCCAGGCTCCCCTCAGAGCTTTCTTGTTAGTGGGTCTCGGCACTAACCATCTGGGGTGGCACCCCCACCTCCATCTGCCCCACCCTGCCCAGCCCCTCCCCACTGTGGGGCACTGGAACTATGAGGCCAGCTCCAGAGGGCATGGTGGTGGGTGAGGGGTGGCCGTGGTGCTGTTTGGGCCTTGGCTGCTGTGAGAATGTGCCCCCTAAATGCCAGCAGGGTCCCTGCCAGAAGCTTGCTCACATGTGCTGCCACTGGCCTCAGGGCCTGGCCTGTCTGGGCTTAGCTTCCGCCCAGCGGTGTGGTCCTGAGCCAGCCACTCCCCCATTTCCCACACGTGGGAACAGAGCGGCGCACGAACACCGGGTGCTCGCCTTTTCTGCTTGTGAGGAGTCTTAAATATGATATGGAGTAACAGCCCTCATCATAGTACGTGTGTACTCACCATACATGTGTACTCACCATACATGTGTACTCACCATACGTGTGTGCTCACCGTATGTGTGCACTCACCATACACGTGTGTACCCACCACACGTGTGTACTCACCATACATGTGTACTCACCATACGGGTGTGCTCACCGCATGTGTGTACTCACCGTACACATGTGTACTCACCACACGTGTGTACTCACCATACATGTGTACTCACCATACGAGTGTACTCACCATATGTGTGTGCTCACTGTATGTGTACTCACCATACACATGTGTGCCCACCATACGTGTGTACTCACCATACGTGTGTGCTCACCGTATGTGTGTACTCTGTGCCTGGCGCTGCCTGAGCACTGCATGGACTGCCCATTCTTGTTTAACCCTCACTACAACCGAAGGGAGACCATTTCAAGATGAGGAAGCTGAGGCAGAGTGTAGCAGGCGTCTTCAAACTACGGCCCGCGGGCCACATGCGGCCCGCAGAGGAGTCTGATCCGGCCCGCCAGGTTTTTTGGGCAGTGAGCGCAGCCGAGGTGTTACAGTAGGAATTAGTAGTTCATATAGTCCGGCCCTCCAGCTCTCTGAGGGACCGTGATCTGGCCCCCACTTTAAAAAGTTTGAGGACCCCTGGACTGTAGAGGATACTGAGAGGCGTCCTCAGAGAGCAGGCTGCGGGTGGGGAGATGGGGATGCCCCAGGCCTGTGCAGGCTTCTGACCTCTCTCCTCTCCTGTCCAGGGACCGGGGCGGACCCGGCCGTCAGCGTCAAGAGCAACCACTGCCTGGATGCCGCCAAGGCCTGCAACCTGAACGAGAACTGCAAGAAGCTGCGCTCCTCCTACATCTCCATCTGCAACCGCGAGATCTCGCCCTCCGAGCGCTGCAACCGCCGCAAGTGCCACAAGGCCCTGCGCCAATTCTTCGACCGCGTGCCCAGCGAGTACACCTACCGCATGCTCTTCTGCTCCTGCCAGGACCAGGCGTGTGCCGAGCGCCGCCGGCAGACCATCCTGCCCAGCTGCTCCTACGAGGACAAGGAGAAGCCCAACTGCCTGGACCTACGCAGCGTGTGCCGGACCGACCACCTGTGCCGGTAAGAATGCCGGCCGCCCTGCAGGGCGTCACGGGCCGGAGCCCCCCTTCCCAGCATTCCCTGGGTCTGCTGGGTTATGATCCTGGGCCCAGTGTGCAGAATAAACTGCCATCCTCCCTCCCTCCCTCCCTTTTCCTTCCACTCCCCCCCCGCTCCCCATATCATTCCTTCCCCTCCCTTTCTCTCCCCTCCCTTCCATCTCTCCCTCCCTTTCTCCCTCCTTCCCTCAGCACAGGTCTTTTGTTTGCCTCCTCTGTGCCCAGCCTCATGTTAAGCCCCGTGAGGAAACCAAGGAGCTGTTAGTTTCAGTGTTTCCCAAAGTGTGGTACGCATACCCCCAGGGGTACGGGAAGAGTTTGGTGGGGATATGCACTGCAGTGTGCTTACCTGCGCCTAATTCTACGTTCTCATGAGTACGAGGGGTACTCAGCGTTACGAAAATTATAGAAGGGGTACACATATGTCAAAAGTTTGGGAAACACTGGTTTAAATCATAGGCCTCTAGCGCCAGGAATGCAGTCCCACCTCTCTCCGAAACCCCCCAATATCCCCACGCGGCCGTGTGGCCGTCAGGGAGGGGCTCTCGGGGGCACATAGCCAGGTTCTTCCCGTCAAGAGCCGAGCCCATCTGGGGTCCCAGAGTTCCGGGTCTGAATCCGGGCTTTTCGACTTCCTGCCTGCTGCCGGAGCGAGGTTTTTAAACGTCCTGCGTCTCCATCCCGTTACCTGTAAAACGGGAATAAAAGTACCGGTGTCCCAGGGCTACTGTGATTCCATAATGGGTGTCCAAAGCTGAGCACAGAGCCTGGCCACTCGCATATGTTTGAAAAGCGCAGCCTAATTATGAGGAGGGTGTTGCTGCTGCTACGGTGGGTTGGAGGTTGCCTCTTTACTCTTCTCTTGCTTTTCTGGTTTGTTGCTAAGCCGGTATCGGGCCCCTCTCGCATCCAGTGCAGGCTCTAGCAGGGGTCTTCAAACTACGGCCCGCGGGCCACATGCGGCCCGCAGAGGTGTCTGATCTGGCCCGCCAGGTTTTTTGGGCAGTGAGCGCAACCGAGGTGTTACAGTAGGAATTAGTAGTTCATATAGTCCGGCCCTCCAGCTCTCTGAGGGACCGTGATCTGGCCCCCACTTTAAAAAGTTTGAGGACTCCTGCTTCTAAGGCCTAGGCGTGCACAGGGGAGGGAGGGTCATCCCCCTCGGGGGTCCAGAGAGGGGCAGGGCTTGAGCTGAACCTTGGAAAACGGGAGGGAGAAGGCCAGGGGGTAACTCGGCTAGAAAACCATATACAAAGGCTGGAGGGCAGGAGGGACCCGGGCAGGTGGCGGACACGTACACAGTATGGGTCACGCGGTGAGGAGGCCAGAGGCGGGCAGGCCGAGCGAGGCTGCTGGAGAAGCAGGGCTCACAACGGTGCAGAAAGTGAGCGCCTGCCATCTACCAGACACCGTCCATCCTGTGGCTCGTCTCTCTTAATCCCTGCAACAAGGCTGCACCTGAGGTGGCTCTGTTACCGTCTCTGTGCGCCCAACGAGGGCCCAGAGAGAGAAAGCGACCTGCCCGAGGTCACACAGCACAGGGATGTCAGGGCCGGGATCTGGTCGAGCTGCTTGCGACCCGGTATAGCACGCCGGCCTGGGCTAAGGAAGCGGCTGTGGTGATGGAGGGGGCGTGTCGTTTCAGAGATGATTGGTGAGTAGACTTGACGGGACTGGGTGACTGGCCCAAGTTCCCTGCAGGCAAAGTCGTTTCTGTTTGGTGACCCCTCGGAGCCTGGCGTGTGGTGAGCAGGCCACAGACGTCACTGGGATGGGTACACGGCTGGTGGCTCGCAGTGTTTCCTGGGTGAATAACTAACGGGCGATGGGGCCATTCGGCACGTGTGGGTGTTGGATGTGCAGTGTTGGAGGTGCCCCGACCCATGGGCTTGGCTCTCAGTGTGGGGGCCGGAGGGGAGAGGGGGGTTGGGACGTGCTGGGTGCCTCGCTGGTGAGGAAAGCCCCGGCAGAGAGTGAGATGGGGTGGGAAGGCTGGTAGAGTCCACGAGGGAGTGGAGGCAGGAGGTGCCTGCGATGTAGGCATCCTCAGTGCTTAGATGGTAAGAGAAGCACCCAGTCGTAACGGAGGGACGCAGGAAGAGGAGCCTGTGACAGGGAGGCTGGGGGGGGGGGGGGCAGGACAGCCAGAGGACGGTGAGCCAGGATCCAGAGGAGGAGGGGCTCCTGAGGGAGGGAGGGCGTGGTGTGGTGCCTCACGGAGTGTATGTGGGAGTGAGAGGGCGGGAGAGCATATATGTGTATGAGTGTGAGTATGCGAGGGTGTGCGTGGATGAAAGTTTGCAGGTGTGTGAGTGTATGTGTGTGTGTGTGTGAGTGAGAGGGTGTGAGAGTCTGTATGTGTGTGAATGTGTGTGAGTGTGTGCGTGTGGATATGAGATTGTGCATGTGTGTGTGTGGAAGTCCATTACAGTGGGAGGCCTGGCAGGGAGGCAGAAGCCAGGCAGTGGGTGCAGACCGCCTTGTGAGAAGGGTTAGGCAGGCGGGGTGGGGTGGGGGGGGGGGAAGTAAGAGCGGGGAAGGCGGCGGGGTCTGAGGGGAGTGCTGGGCCCTGTACACACGGAAGGGATGGACTCCTTGTTCTGGAGCAGCTGTTGCTGGAGTTGAGCGGAGAGCTGCTCCCCAGGGCTGGCTGCAGGTCTTGGGAAAGCCCTGCTTTTTGAAACATATACACCTCGTTACAAAAAAATACAATGAATTGGGGCGATTTAAAATCAAACTGTGCATAAACGAGAGGGCGCTTAGAGGGAGAAGCCCAGAGCCGGGAGAGGCGGGAAGCAGTGCCAGGGGAGCGCTGGCTTCCTGGTGGCCAGGAAAGAGCAGAGAATGCACGGACAACTCGACCCCCACACTCTGTGGAAGGAGCACTAATTCCTGCTCGAAGATGCGTCCCCTCCTTGTTCCGATGCTGACGCGGTGCTGTCGTGCCTCCTCACACACAGCGTACACAAACGACAGGATGGGTGAGGAACTGAGGCCCAGCCCAGCGATCCAGGTGGTGCCTCTGGGCCCAGGGACCCACCTGGTGGGCCAGGTGCTCCCGGGCACCAGGGGGCTGCGGCCAGGCTCACCCCGATGTCACCATGGAGTTCTGAGCGGAGGGACAACAGGAACACCAGCACCCCCTTTATTTCCGGTGCTTCAGGGAGGGACAGTATGTGCGTATCTGAGGTGTCTGTGGCCCCGAGGGGGCGAGCAAGCTGGGAGCAGGCCGGCTTTGGTGGCCTGTGGAACATCTGTGTCGGTTGGAAGAGCCAGAGGCGTTCTTTGTTTGTTCTTCTGGAGGTGGGGGAGCCAGAAACTGGAGAAATAGGGGGTACACTTCACCGTGTAGAAGGAAAAGGTGTTCAGATGGGACTCAGTACTGGGTGGGGTGGTGTGGGAGGGTGGTTTGAAGGAGGGGAGCTGGCTTCCTTCCATGCGCTTGCAGGCCAGCCGGGCTTGCTGCCTCGTGGACCCTGTGTGTCCGTGGAGGAGTCGGAGGTGATGGTGGCTGGAGAGGGGCACCGGAAAAATGCCCGGGAAGGAGGGCGCTTTCTTCCCTCTGGCTTTGGCTTCCACCTGGTGTCTCCCCCCAGGGTGGGCACCACAGGGAGACCTTTGCTGTGAACTGGGGACCCCCAAGCCTTCCTGTCCTGGATGCTTTAAGGACATAGCTGGTCGGTCGGTCGGGGCGGCAGGACTCTGGGCTGACTCTAGGAATGAGGCCCCATGCTCCAGGGCTGCAGTGCCCTGTCCTGCTTGGCCCCCTCACCTCTCTGCTCGGGGAGTGGCCTGGCTTCTTTCTGAGGGACTTGCGGCCCGGGGTTCCTGGGATCAGTGGCTGGAGCCCACCGCAGCTGCACTGTCCGAGAGCAAGTGTGTGATGTCAGTGGTATAGACGCCCTTGCTGACGTAGGAGGATCCCTCACCGCGGAGCATTAGGGTTTGAAGGGGTCTTTGGTTGCACAGGGAGGTCTCCTTGCTCAGGCCCTGGCGTTGCTGGAAGCATCTCTAAACCCCCCCCTTGGACCAGCATCAGACGGGTGAGGGTGGAAGCTTCCTGCTTTAGCCAGGGTCCCGGCTGGTCCTGGAGGGGCAGCCTGGGCCTCTCACTCACCCTTGTCACCCACGAGCCTTCAGTTTGTGGGCTTCCGTCCAGTAGAGGCTTGTCCTTTAACAAGTCGTGATACGGAGTCTGGAGAGCCCAAGGGTCTCTGGGATGAACCCATGGGACTTGGCTGAATTCTCTTGCCCAGCCCCCAAGAATGGGCTATGGCCTCCTTTTTCTGTTTCTACCCTCAGCTGACACACTCACCACAAGGATGGGCATAGAGGTCCAGATTGTGTGTGTGAGAGTGTATGTGTATATATATATGTGTGTGTGTATGTGTGTGAATGTGTGCACACATATGTATATGCCTGTGTGTACGTGTGCACATCTCTGTGTGTATATATGCATGTGTGAGTATACGTGTATGAGTGTGCATGTGTGTATATATGTGTATATATGTGTGAGCATATATGTGTGTATGTGTATACATGTGAGTTTATATGTGGGAATGTGTACACATGCATGTGTGAGTGTGTGTACACGTGTGTGAGTGCACATATGTGTAAATATGCGAGTACATGTGTACACACAAGTGCATGCATGTGGGCATGTATGTGTGTATATGTGTGTATGCATGTGTGAGTGTGCATGTGTATGTGTGTGTGTGTGAGTGCATGTGTGTGTTTGGCTGGGGGCTGTGGGAAAGAGGGTTCTGTTTCTCCCGGGTCTGTGTGGAAGAGGCCTCTGAAATGCCCTGCTCCTCTGGGTCTGCCAAGAGGCTATAAATAGCGGGCTCTGGCCCTGTGCCATGTCCTGGCTGCAGTTTAACCGCAGGGTGCTGAGAGTGTATAAATAGACCCAGCCTGGGCTGCCCTGCTGCCTGCACCCCTTCGCGCAGCAGACACAGTCCT